TGATATAACTTACCTATATTAATGGATGAGAGAAATTCGTTATAGTTTTATGAACACAATATATAAGAGTACACAACTCCATAAAATACAATATATAAGAGTACACAACGCTATAAACCCAATACATAATTAATAGAGCGGAAACATACATAGGGCGGAAAAAATCTCAATTTCTACAATGGTGTTTAATAACCCTTACATCAAAATACCTTGTATACTTACATTTTCTCATAACCCTTAATTGGTTCTTACCTTAGTATACAAGACATTCTATTTCTAACATAAATCATATTTCAATTCGTAACAAGATTCTCATAATTCTATTCTTATTTACAATTCTATTCTTTAGTAAATAGTTTTCTAAAAGACATACATAAAATTTTACATGGGAACTATTAGGAAAACGAGTCACTTGTGGGTTGTGGTCAGATGGATAGTGGGGCGTATGGTTGAAAGCGCTACTGTAGTCTTGAGTTCAAGTTGTACCAAATGGTGGCTAATTATCATATCTAAAAAAAAAAAAATGTTACTAGACTAAGAGTACATGTGTGTCCTAATTTTAGTGGGGTCTAATTTTTATTTAAGAGTCCACTTGGGAGTTTCATAATAGCAGTTATAAGGGTAAAACATCGTAGCAGTTTTGAAGATAAACCACCGTAGCTGTTTTAAGAAGTTTTTAGTAGCAGTTTTTAAAACATCAAACCTGTGCTTGAGAATTTATTTTTCAACGATTCTGACAGTTTTTTAAAATGATAAATTTACATATATGCTCATAAAAATACCCAACTTCAACCAATTCTTGGGAGTTTTATTTTTTCAATTATAAGGTAGGAGTTCTTTATTTATTTTCTACTTATTAGTATTTTATAACTTCAAATTTGATAAAGTCTCCTTATTCTTCTTTGGTATTCTTTACAGCATCTGAAATGATTGAAAAATTGTAGCTCCACTTCTCCAAGAAAGCATCTAGAAATGAGATTTTAATAATTTTTTTTTTTTTATGATTGCTTAAAATTATTTTATATTTAATATGGTTGGAGACGCGCATAATATGGTTAATTTTTTTTTTTTTTTTTNAATTATAAACAAACAGGTCAGCTTAATTTTAGAGCTTATAAGCAAGTTTGACTAGCTTATAAGCTTAGACAAATACCCCCAACAAAGTTATAGCTGAAGCTTTTAGTATGAATTTAGTGACTAAAATAGTGCTTGAAACCTACTTGTTAATAGATTGTGCAACGGAAAATGTACATTCGAGATCAATAACATATGAATAAAATTACACCACATAAAGAAATATAATATTTATGTGGTTTGATATAACTAATCTATACCAACGGATGAGAGAAATCCGCTATAGTTTTATGAACACAATATATAAGAGTATACAACTCCATAAAATACGATATATAAGAGTATACAACATTATAAACCCGATATATAATTAACAAAGTGAAAACATACTTAGGACAGAAAAAATCTCAATTTCTACCATGGTGTTTAATAACCCTTACGTTAAAATACCTTGTATACTCACATTTTCTCATAACCCTGAATTGGTTCTTACCTTAGTAGAGGAGACATTCTATTTCTAACAGAAATCATATTTCAATTCCTAACAAAATTCTCATAATTCTATTCTTATTTACAATTTTATTCTTTATTAAATAGTTTTCTAAAAGACATGCATAAAATTTTACATGGGAACTATTAGGAAAACGAGTCACTTGTGGGTTGTGGTCGGATGGATAGAGGGGCATATGGTTGAAAGCGCTGCCGTAGTCTTGAGTTCAAGTTGTACCAAATGGTGGCTAATTATCATATCTAAAAAAAAAAAAAAAAAAAAAAATGTTACTAGACTAAGAGTACATGTGTGTCCTAATTTTAGTGGGGTCTAATTTTTATTTATTTATTTTTATTTAAGGGTCCGCTTGGGAGTTTCATAGTAACGGTTATGAGGACAAAACATCATAGTAGGTTTGAAGGTAAACCACCGTAGTAGTTTTGAGAAGTTTTTAGTAACGGTTTTTAAAACACATAACCTGTGCTTGAGAATTTATTTTTCAAGGGTTCTGACAGTTTTTTAAAATCATAAATTTATATATATGCTTATAAAAATACCCAACTTCAACAAATTTTTAGGAGTTTTGTTTTTTCAATTACAAGGTAAGAGTTCTTTATTTGTTTTCTACTTATTAGTATTTTATAACTTCAAATTTGATGAAGTCTCCTTATCCTTCTTTGCCATTCTTTACCGCATCTGAAATGATTGAAAAATTGTAACTCTACTTCTCCAAGAAAACATCTAGAAATGAGATTTTAATAATTTTTTTATTTTATGATTGCTTAAAATTATTTTATATTTAATATGGTTGGAGACGTACATAATATATATATATATATATATTTTTTTTTTTGATATGTTTGGGATAGTTTTGTAGTAGATAGGGTATTTGTGGAATAAAATTTTAAAACTAACCAAAACACCCCGATTTGAGGTGTTTTATAAATCCCTAAAAAATATACTACACTAGTTTTGAGGGGTTTTTGAGCCAGTCAAAACTAGTGCCTACAAAATCTGACAAGTAAGGGTTTTAGAACACCTCAAAACTAGTCTAATTAAAAACTCCTTAAAACCAGTGAAAACAAAATTTCAAAAGACCCTGAAGTAAATATCATTAATCCAAGATCCATTAAATTTTTCAACAATTCACAGTAAATAAATTAATAAATAATATGAAAATGAGTTTTGTGAAGAACAATAAGATTTTAGTTGGTTAAATTTGGTCTTCCTCACGTACCAATAATTAAATTGATTAAATAATATTGGGCTAACTATCATTATTAGTATTATTATTATGGAGTAAAATGTCCTAATCAACCCCATAAAGAACAAATGAAATCTCATAACTTAGTGATTAAATCTAATTAATTAATAAATAAAATAATTACAAGCATCTTTGTCAATATAGACCCAACTTCTTCCTTGGTCGACAACATTTTTGCTTTTAGGTAGGAAGCACCAACTTCCATTTCAATAATTACTTAAAAAAATAATTAATTTTTTAATTCCATCCACCGATATCCTATTATTATCAGTGATAAACGTAAAACAAAATCTTAATTAAATTTTCTCTCGTAAAAATACAGAAACATATATTTATCAAGCCAATAAATATATATTATTATTATTTTTTTTGGACTTGATACAGGTTAGATTTAATCAAACGATTTCAATAGTAACTATTACTTTTAGGATTTTTCTAATGTATATATATATATCTCGTTAAATGGTATTTATAAATAGTTTGTTAATATCAATAAACATTAAAAGAAAAAGGAAAATAATTGCAAAATATCTTGTATTGAAGGCTCTAATTGTATGATATTTAATTATATAACATAAACTACACGTCAATATGATACATCAAAGAAAGAAGGTCTTCGATCAATAACTCATCGGGTGCATATATGTCACATATACTAATATAACTTGCATATATTAGAGGAAAAAAACATGCCCAAATTAAATATTTTTCCTATACCTCGTCTAGTTAAAGATTTTTTCATTACATACACCCCACCTAGTTAGATATTTTTTTTATACATACGCCTTAACTAAGTGAAGATTTTTCTTATACATGCGCTCAATCAAGTTAAAGATTTCTTTTATACGTGCGCCCAATTAAAAATGTTAAAAGATTTTTTCTAATATATAGTCTCTTTTTATTCAAAGATTTATTTTGTATACATACCCATTTCAAAAGGAATTTTCCTATACGTGGGTCCTTTTCCTTTTGCATTAAAGATTTTTCTTGACTACCAAACACCCTATAAGATTTAACAACCATATTACGTTTGAGCGAAACCGTTTCTACAGTTGACAAGTAGTAAATTCAGAGTGGGGTCCACGGACCATTGGTGAGATGAGACGTCTCCACTCCGTCACAACTCACACGCGACTCTTGTGACTTTTGGTCATAGCACATAATATGGTTTGTTCATTGCTGTTAGTCTGCGCGCTCTAAAATAGCAAAAAGATTTGCACTTAGGGGCGTAAAAAAAACTATCAAATTATTAAGGTGTGATAAATAAAATATTTTTATAATATTTTTTGTTTATTTGTATGAATATAATATTTTTCTATACTACTTTTTTTAAAATATATACATCAATAAAAATTTTAAAAACTACAATTTTATTTCAAAAAATGAATTAAATATGTGTGTTTATATGAACACCTACTAGTCAACATTAATTTTTAAAATAATATAAAATGAAAATAAATCCAATCATATCGATTAAAATAGTTAATAAATAAGTTTAAATGAATTAAATTTCGATGACATATATGATTTTTAAGATTTTTAATTTATATACATATAATATATAATATAATCACATTTCTATCTAAATTAAAATATTTAATTTAAACTTTTGACATTGATAGTAAAAATGTTTTGATTTTAATATTTTAAGTTAAAAATTTAAGTTGATATAATTTGATACAATTCTTTACATATATTCCTTTAAGGTAAATGCGTAATTTTTGAAGCTAATTTATCGGACCCAAAATTAATTTTTTAGAAACTAATTTTTAATCAAATTTTAGCAAAAAAAAGTTATACTTTCTATTTGATTAAGTATTAATATCGAATTTTTAAAATTTTTTAATTATGGATATAATTAAAAAAAACAAAAAGTAACTAAAATGTGAGAAAAATTTATAGTCCAAGTAATGTACTTGTCAACTGTTATAAAATTCCAAAAAACACAAAACATTTTGACAAAATTGCAAAACCCCACCCACTGACTGACTGACCTTCACCCTTATTAACTTTCTCTTTCTCTCTCCTCCAGCTTGCTAAAGTGCTAGACTGTCAATTCTCTATCTCTCTACTTTCTTCCCTTTTTCTTTCGTCCTTTATTTTTTTCTTTCTCTGTCTAAACACATTAGGATTGATTGGTCGATGGATTGAGAATGCCGTCTGCCTTTTGATCAACGGCATCGCATCGCTTCCAAGCCAAGCAACAAATATAAGTAGCAAAAATTTTCTAATCAAACAAACAAAATATCGCTCTTGCTTACTCTCTCTCTCTCTCTCTCTCTCTCTCTCTCTTTCTTCTTCATGACTGGTGAGTGATCATGATGATGAATTGATTGTGTTTTTTTTTCGTTTGAACGTTTGAAAATTTGTTTCTCTCAGATCTATATATGAAATTTTGTCTCCATTTTATCCACACAGGATTTTGATTTTCTCCTTGTCTTAATTTTGCTTCACTTTTCTTCTCTTTGAAACTAAGCTTTTGNTATTAACTTTCTCTTTCTCTCTCCTCCAGCTTGCTAAAGTGCTAGACTGTCAATTCTCTATCTCTCTACTTTCTTCCCTTTTTCTTTCGTCCTTTATTTTTTTCTTTCTCTGTCTAAACACATTAGGATTGATTGGTCGATGGATTGAGAATGCCGTTTGCCATTTGATCAACGGCATCGCATCGCTTCCAAGCCAAGCAACAAATATAAGTAGCAAAAATTTTCTAATCAAACAAACAAAATATCGCTCTTGCTTACTCTCTCTCTCTCTTTCTTCTTCATGACTGGTGAGTGATCATGATGATGAATTGATTGTGTTTTTTTTTCGTTTGAACGTTTGAAAATTTGTTTCTCTCAGATCTATATATGAAATTTTGTCTCCATTTTATCCACACAGGATTTTGATTTTCTCCTTGTCTTAATTTTGCTTCACTTTTCTTCTCTTTGAAACTAAGCTTTTGGAGGTAGAAATATGTTTACTGTTTGAAGTTTCCGTTACAGCAACTGTTCTCAGAAGTTGTTAATTTATTTGTGGAAATATTTCTTTTTAGTGTTTTTTTTTTTAAAACTAATTTTCTACTTTGCATTTTCTCATCTGTTAGTAATTTTGTCTTTTTTTTTTTTTTTTTTCTGAAATAAATTTTCTGTTTGGCGGCCGAGAAAATGGAGAGGAAAAGTGAGGTGTCTTGAAATGAGAAAGTCAACTCGAACTATTCTTGTACTCTTGCTTTTTCTGTTTGGATGCTGAGAAAATGGAGGAGAGTAAAAGTTTTAAAAATCTTAAAAACGAGGAAGTCAACTCAAGTTAACCTTATTCTTTGCCTTTTCACTTTCTATAAAGCTCCGCGAGAATCGAGCATAATTAATTTTCTTAATTATTTAAAATTTAAAATTTAATATATATATTTCGTTTTCAGTGTTTTGAGGAATTGACGAGAAGTAGCAATGTCATCAAAGCACAGATCGAAACCGAAAAGATTAGATTCAAGCAATTCTAAAGCTGTTAATTCGCCATCTTCTTCAACGACGTCGTCTTCTAAGCAGTTTCTGGAGACATCTATTGATGGTCTGAGCTCTCCCGCCTCTTCATCCGTTCGAAGCAAGCCTCAGTATTTCTACACTGAGAACTTGTCTTACAAAGAAAATGTTACAGTCACTGTTCGGTTCCGGCCGCTTAGGTAACTTAATGTGTGCTCTTAGAACGTGTTTTGAACTAAATTTGTATAACTTTTTAAAAAAGTGCTTGGAAATTTGATTGCGGTTGTTGAATGGCGTAGTCCCAGGGAGATTCGTCAAGGCGAGGAGATTGCGTGGTATGCGGATGGGGAAACTATTGTGCAGAACGAACATAATCCATCGATAGCGTATGCGTATGGTAAATTGCATATGGAGTTTATTGTATTTGGTGGAATTATATGCTTACTAGAGGACATTGCATATTGCAGAATCTAGAATGAAGAAAGTTATACGCATTGTATTGAGGAAATGCAACTGGAATGTAGTAGAAAATTTGAATTAATAAGAATAATCAATATTACAAGTTGATTTGAACCGATAATGCTATGGTTATACCTTTTATATCGATGTAAAATTGTCATCATTTCATGAATTTCAAAATAAAGCATGTCTTACGGATTTCTAGTATGGGTTGTTCATATGTGTACTGTCATCATTACTCCTTGCTGTAGTGTAGTTTAGGTATGGGTATGAATTGGGTTTGATGTGGCGTTTCTTTCTGTCTACATTGGTGAAATACAGTCTTCGTCAGGCTTAACATTAGTGTTACTTTTTTACGTTATGCATTCATCAATTGTTTGTCTACCTTGTTATCTTTGCTGCTGGTTTTGCTTAAGAGAGTTCTCCTATTGTTTTTTCTTTGCGGAAAAAAGTTCATTGAAAAAGGGCAAAACAAGATGTTCAACTTGTTCATGTTTGATTTCAAGATTCAGAATCTCATTTCATTGTTTCTTCCCTAATGCTTCTAGATCGGGTATTTGGCCCTACGACCACCACACGCCATGTCTATGATGTCGCTGCTCAGCATGTTGTCAGTGGTGCAATGGAAGGCATCAATGGTAATTATTGAAGATTCATATTCTTGGCAAACATATTTTCTTATGAGATTTTTGTTGCATTTTGGAAACATTGAGTTTTTAATTAGTCTCTGCTTTTCTTGCTTATTCAGAAAACTTATAAAATTTCATCATGGACCTTTCCTAATCATGTAGGTTCATTATGTGTAGTGCTATGATAAATAGTTCTAGAGCAATAAGCCTATGTGGCGTTCAGTTATATGAATTCAAGTTGCAATTCTTTTTGGCTTCCTATCTTGAGACCTTTATCATTTAATGATTCAGAAAAATTTCCTTTTCTTTTGTTTGTGATTGTATCATCTTATAGAAGTGTAATTATGAATGCTTGGAGTAATTTTTCTTCTTCTCATAAATGTAATAACCAAATATAAAATGAACATCTTCAGAGGTTCAAACTGCATTGATGAACTCTCAGTTTTCAAAGTGTTGCCTGGTCTTAATAATTAATTATTGGTGATAGTAGATTGGTACCTTATAGCTAATTTGTCTAAATTCAGAATCTACCTAATATCCACTGTGCTTGAGGGCCTATGTGGCTGAAAAAGGCTAACTTCTGGCTAAAGATATGCTTGATATGCTCCCTGTGCTCTGCTAGGCTTGCCTTGCCTTGCCAACGTCTTACTACTGTTACTCTCAAGGGCCTAAGTTGGGTGTTAGGTGATCTAGTTATGAACTTTGATTACAATGCAAGCACATTTATTAGAAATTATTTGCATTAGTCGTGCAATTGTTATATTTAGAAAGCATTTACATGGCCATAGTTTAGAGTGGATTGACTTTTTGTTATCTCACCCTCAGGCACCATCTTTGCATATGGCGTGACAAGCAGTGGGAAGACTCACACAATGCATGTAAGATTTGATGACTGCACACCACTTTACTTATATATTGTTTATCTTGTGTACATAAGGGGATGCATCTTCCTTGTATCATGATTTCTTACCGATGATATTTTATGATAGGAAGAAGTGTAGAATCACACGATGCATGTAAGATTTGATAACTTGTTATAAGTTATTGGACTTCAGCATCTTTTTTTTCCTGCTCATGAAGAAAGTTCAATATGCAGAAGTCACAGCTGCAATGATACGCTCTTCCATAAGCTCAATCTTCTGAATTTGAATGGCTTCTGGGCCTTTTTATTTTTACTTTTCTTAGTTCTGAAGGAAATTTAACTTAGAGAAATGTTCTATTGAAATTGTGTTCATGTCATAGAATTCTCTGACTCTTGGAAAAAGGATACCACATCACATACATTTACTGAGGTTAACAAATATATTATATCAAATTATCATGTGTGTTACTTAGTCATATTATCCAAAGATATCTATACAGATTTAAGGCTTCATGGGAAACATACTCTTCAGTGGTGTGAATAAGTTTGTTGTGTTGTGACTAGTTGAACTATGAGTTTGGATTTGTTATATATTACTCCTGTTCTTACATGGTAACATGTAAATGGCAGGGTGATCAGAGGTCCCCTGGAATTATACCATTGGCAGTAAAGGATGCTTTTAGTATTATTCAAGAGGTACTTTATATGAAATACTGAAGTGTAGAACATTCTCTATCAGTTCCTTGTTATAATACTAATTCCCATGGTTGATGAATGTTGTAGACTCCAAATCGAGAATTTCTTCTTCGAGTTTCATACTTGGAGATCTATAATGAGGTCATCTTCTTCCCATTCTCATTTATAAATTTATTCAATGATGCTGCACTCTTTCCTGGCTTATTATTTGCTTATAATGTTCAATGTAAACTAGCTTCCATACTGCTTTGAACTTTTCAGAGAGAGCTATACTATTAGGTTTTCTGCATTTTCAGGTTGTTAATGATTTGTTAAATCCAGCGGGGCAAAATTTAAGAATTAGAGAGGATTCTCAGGTACTCATTTATATGCATCTTATCCATATATTTTTGTTAAATCTGACAATAACTGCATTATGTATGATGATTACTATTTGTCCAATGCTTCTAGTTTTGGCCTCTTTATCGTGTAATGCTTCATTATGGAACTCATTAACCGTAGAAAATTGAAAATGTTAAATTTATCTAATGGATATCCAAGTTGGGTTTTAGGGACTAATATGAAGTGGATTATTATCTTGGGGCCTAGGAAAATTTATGGCTGTTTGATACTTTACCATATTGTTGTACAATTTGGTTTTGCTTTACACTGGTGAAATTTTTGTCTATTTTGTGCTCATGTTAGTTTGATGCATTTGAGTCGGTCACAAGAAAAATCAAATTAAAACAGTTGTCTTCTTGGTATTATGATCCCTCTAGTAGACGCAGCCATGTACTGACTAATAATAGTTGAGAGTGACTGCTCTGTATATTTCAAGATTAAGCTGGGGTTACTGTATCATGTCTCAATGTGCCTGGTGCTTGCATAATGGCATGAATTGATTGCAAGGAGTCTGCAATAGCTATAACCTGAGGTAATATGCCAAGCGTGCGGTGGTATTTTGTGTTGACACGTATTATTTTAGTTTAAGTAAATATGCAGTGTACTGGTTTGAATGATGAATGTGTCACAGGCCATAGATTCAACTAGCATGATAAATGCTTTCTGGATGCTTGTCATGTAACATTGGCGAAAATTTCACAAAGCCAGTATCAGAGTAATGTACAAGAGGGTCCTCAGCTGACTAGGTTTATATATTTGTTGGGGCTTTCATATCATGCTACATATCAGTTTCTGATTTGGAGTAGAACTAATTTTCCTTGTATAAGGGTATGATACTATGTCATAAAAAAGGGATGGGTGCTTTGGTTGCTTGCGGAAATGTAAGAATATTCATCACAGCTTCCAAGTGCAACAATATCAGCATGTAAACCTAAACTACTACTGGGCCTTGTACATTCAGTAATTTTCTAAGTGTCAATTTGCCGTATATAAATCAGAATTGCCTCTTGAGCCTCTGAAGCTTTTATCTCAACTTTCCAGAGATTTTGGTGGATAGTTTGTTCAGCAAGTGAACTACTTTGTTCTAGTCTGACACCTTTAACCGTGTCACCAGTTAGTAGTGGTGGAAGTGTTATAGATTATCTGTATACCTGGTAGTAAGTAGTGGTGGAAGTGCTATGGGCGATGTATTATCTTTGTACCTGGTAGTAAGTAGTGGTGGAAGTTTTATGGATTATCTTTATACCTGGTAGTAAAAGTGCTCAGTGGTCATCCTCTTATATTTCCTTATTTTCTGGAAATGGTCGGGGGTAATTGAAGAGCTGAAAACTGACACCATGCATTTTTAAGCGGTTTAGATTTGTGAGTGCAATATGGAGCAAGCGTTACCTTGGCTTGGAAACTCTTTGAATTTGCACTAAGTTTGGTTACATGATGCACAAGGCTTGTTGGAAACTGCACAGACAATGCACTGCAAGGTGTGAATTCAATTGATTGGTTTGATAGGTGGACTAGGCTATTACATGATGCTTTCATTTGCTTGTGCTTGAAAGGAGGAGGAGGAGGAGCGGCGGTAGTTTGGGTTTGGGTTTGGTTGATCTACTGGATTGCATTGCTCAGTAAGTGCATGGTTTGAGTGGCATTATGGTTTCTAGGAATCAGTACTTTGCAGATATTTTGCAAAGTAATTGTGTCTCAAAGTTACAGAATCTATTTGTAGATCTGGATTTTAAGTGCTTGGCTTCTGGTTTGAGGATATTTACTGTGTTTAAGGTCTTTTTGGTTTACAGTGTTTTGGAGTTATGACCCCTGTTTGAAGCTAGTTTATATTAAAACTATGCTTAGTCATATACTGCTGTAGCAGTGGAAAGTTATATGACTCACTAGTGTAGATGAGTTAATGAATTCAGCAGCAGCTTTCTGCTTGGAACAACTTTTAAGTTTTGGCTTGGTGGCCTCACTTAGGCTGTTTGGGGATGTCTGAGTGTCATGTGGTGATGTGCTGCCTATTGATGGTCTTGCTGCCTGGCTAACTTTTCATGCATCAATATCTCATATCTGATGCTGAATCTGGAACTTAAGGATTATTATTTGTTATAGAAATCTTGATTATTAGGACTTTGGGAATTATCTTTATTTGAAACTTGGGTTTTCTCCTTTTTATGTTGATATGTTTTTCTTTGCATGTTAGGAGAAGTTATCATTCTTCGGTAGAGGTTGATTTTAATTAGGTTTTGACCAATATAAGCGGGCGTTATGTTTTGTTTTATCACTAACATTGATTAAGTGATATTATGAAAATTGATTTTCTCCCATAATTTTCTTTGTTCTTCTCCCCTTTGTAATTTTTTTTGATCTCTTCACTCTCTCTCCTATCTCTTACTTTCTCTATCCTCCTTTTATCTTTCATGTCATGTCATAACATCACTGTCCTTTCAGGCACTGTTATTAAAGACATGATTTATGGTATAACTTATAGTTAGTTATTAGGCACATGTGTGAGAAAATGGCACAAGCTTTTCTCTCTATTGGAGCATGTGAACAGAAATTTATGGTGGATTTCTCTCAGTTTAATTTTATTTTTCAATCTCTTCAACTCTTGGTTGTTTAAATGTTGAAAAATGTGTTGTTTATTTATTTCCTGATTGATGTTTCTAGGGAACCTTTGTTGAAGGTATAAAGGAAGAAGTTGTATTATCTCCTGCTCATGCTCTTTCCCTTATAGCAGCTGGAGAAGGTAAAATTTCTTTCTTACTTTGTTATGTGCAGGAAGGGGCAAAATTTCAGGCAGGTGTATGAAATTAACAATATATTGTATTTTAATATTATCTAGAGTGTTTTGAGAAGCTGGCTAACATTTCTTGTCAGTTAATTGTGGATGCCATTGCAATTAATGTTCTATTCTTAATGATACTATTCATAAAATTTATTTCATGCTTTGTGACTAGATGTTGGTTTTTGACAACAGAGCACAGACATGTTGGGTCAACAAACTTCAATTTACTGAGCAGTCGGAGTCATACAATATTTACTCTGGTATTCTTACCATTATGTATTGAGATAATCACTTTTTCTACCTATCACCCTTTTTGGATGCATTATGACATTTTGATCTTTTTTCCCTTATAAGCTAATTTCTTCACAACCTTCCATGTAGACGATAGAGAGCAGCCCATGTGGTGAAAATAGTGCCGGGGAAGCTGTAAATCTGTCCCAACTGGTAATTTCTAATGCCTTTTACCTGGGATCAACTTTAGTTATTTGTTGTTTACATGATTAGGTTTTTTAGTTTCTACCTGTTGCTCATATGTCCAATAATAACCTCATATTTTTTTCTTTATTGCTTTCATGTAATATGTTGTAATTGCCATGTCATTTAATGTCTGTGATTTCTTTTTAACTTCTCCAAATTTTACTTATACCTGCAGCACCTCATCGATCTGGCAGGTTCGGAGAGCTCAAAGGCCGAAACTGTTGGTGTGAGGCGGAAAGAGGGATCTTATATTAATAAAAGCCTGCTAACTCTTGGAACTGTGAGGCCTTGAATACTGTTGTTATTCCAGCCAAGTCAATAGTTTGAATGTTATGGGCCTCATGCTTCCTCTTTAGTCAGTAATAAATGATTCACCACATAAATACTTGTCATGTTTATCTATCTGCCCATGCACACACACAACACATTCACTAGTAATGTATTTACGCATTTATGTATGTACATTTGTGTAAAAATGTTTACATGGATTTGATTCCATTACTGTTGCTCGTTCTTGGGTCTTTGTTGTGCTATATGAACTGCGTGGTCTTAGCAATGCTATGAGGCTTGTGAATCTTTATTACTTCATAGAATTTAACGGAAGAATACTATCTTATGCTTTGTAAGAGTAATCTCAGGTGTTTGTTGTTCATATGACTAAATTTCATGAAATGGCACTTCTATATTTCTTTCTGTCTATAGAGAGTACCCTGCTGTATATGATCTTACATAAAGTTTGGTCAGGGTTTGATATTCATTGTAAAATACAAACTTATTTTGGGATGTATAACTTGTGATTGTTTATAGGTTATTTCAAAGTTAACAGATGGGAGGGCCACTCACATACCATACAGGGATTCTAAATTAACCCGGCTTCTACAATCTTCGTTAAGTGGTCATGGCCGTGTATCTGTAAGTATTTTTTTTTTTTTCTTTGGTTGATAATACTCATGGCTTGAGTTTGGGTGAATGACGGACATACACACACATTGTCACTATATTGTTGTGCATTTTACCCCTTGCCCTTATAGTCATTATTCATTGTCTTTGATATCTGGGATTTCAGCTCATTTGCACGGTCACTCCTTCATCAAGTAGTTCAGAAGAAACACATAATACGTTGAAATTTGCACACCGTGCAAAGCATATTGAAATTCAAGCATCTCAAAACAAGGTATTTTACCTCAACATATGCATGTCAGAAATATCAACTCTCAGCTGTTTCTGTGAGACTCAGTAAAGAAAATGAACGTGCAGATTATTGATGAGAAATCACTCATCAAGAAATACCAACATGAGATACGGAGTTTAAAGGAAGAGTTAGAACAGTTGAAGAGGGGTATTGAAACAGTTCCTCAACTCAAAGATATTGGGGGAGACGATATTGTACTCCTAAAGCAGAAGGTATGCCTATGGTGGGATGGGTTGTAGTTTTTGCTACGGCTGAAAAGGAACTTATTAACTTATTGCTCAATCCCACTGCAAGTCTTTGCATATGGGGATATTTGACAAATTTCTTGGATAAATCATGTTCTTGTTATTTATTTAATTATTTTACCCTACAAATTGTTAGATGTTTTGTAGTCCCTAGTAGTTGCTTGAGCTAAATATAAAAGAGGCAGACATTAGTGCAGAATGTTGTCTTTCTGTATTAGGCTAACTTCAACTTTCTAGTAAAAAACTCTTGGATCTGTTGGGCGCTTTCACAGCCTGTATTTCTCCCTTTGCTTCAACAATGTGTTTAATATACTAGAGTTTTCTTGTTGCCAATAGCACTGCATAAAGTTGATTGAGGCTCAGATAGCACTTTGAGGGTATATAATATAATTAATAATATATGATATTTTTCATGATATTTCAAGAGAGCATTGGGAACTCTGCTTGCCTTACCCTAGACAGTTTTCCAGGAGTAGTAACTGAGATCAAAGTATTTTGAATTATTGGTCCATCTTATCGTCTCTTGTCAATGTTATTGGATATTGTGAATGGTAATTTGCAACTTTCATGTCAACATCATAAACATGTTATGATGTTCAGTTTATGCATTATGTCAATAAGTGACAATAACATAATTGACAGGGGTAGAGCCAAAATTGTAATTAGTAGGAGGCCAAAAGTTATATTCTTTTTTAATATCTAAAATCTAATCTCATTTGATATTTAATAATATATGACAAGGTGGAACTCCTAGTCCTAGGCTTGGGGATCATTGACCAAGTATGGCTCTGCCTCTGCTAATTGACATCCTTGGTGTATTGAATTGACGAAGTGATTAGATGTCTGTTTTCATTTTTTCTTTTATCTCTGTAACCATTTGATATCATTATCAGTTGGATGTCTTGATGGAGTCATCACATGACACATTTTTTTATCTGAAGAGAAAGTGGTGTGTTTGACTTTCTATCACTCATTTTTTGTTGTCGTCATGTGCGAAGCTAGAAGATGGTCAAGTCAAGCTGCAATCTAGATTGGAGCAAGAGGAAGAAGCGAAAGCTGCTTTATTGAGCCGAATACAACGATTGACCAAATTAATTTTGGTCTCAAAACCTTCACAATCGACAAGATTTCCCCACCGCCCTGGTCCAAGGAGGAGACATTCTTTTGGAGAAGAAGAGGTACCGTGATTGTTTCTACTTAAATTGGTTGTATACTTTTTTATTTTAACCTGTTACACATTAGAACTCTAATTTATTTGTAATAATATTCTCAATTTCATTTCTGCTGGATATTGAGAGTGTTTGTCTTACAAAGATTTCTCTCAATTTTGTTTGATCTGATTATAGTTATGTAATGTAAACTCTGCAGCTTGCATACCTACCACACCGAAGGCGAGACTTGGTCTTGGATGATGAAAACATTGATTTGTTTGCTTCTCTAGAAGGAAATTCTGAAACTGCAGATTATACAATTAAGGAGGAGAAAAAGACCCGGAAGCATGGATTGCTAAACTGGTTAAAGCTACGGGTATGTATATCATGAATCTTTGGTAGTTACGGATGTTCTAAAGATTAATCCCAACAGTTTATATCCAACAGCAATCTTTTTTTTTTTATTTTATTTTTTATTTTTTAAATATGAAGCAAAGAGATTCATGATTCATGAGAGCCAGTGTCATTAACGTGCTGAATGAATTTCTCCTTTTTGCTTCATTTTTGAAATGTACCTCGAGCCAGTTTCAAAGCTTATTAATTTAAATGTTGTTGATCAGAAACGAGATAGTAGCTTGGGGCCATTGACTAGCACCAGTGAAAAATCAAGTGGAATTAAGTCTAATAGTACACCTTCAACTCCTCAAGCTGGGAACACTAATTTTCATGCAGAATCCAGGCTTTCTCAATCTCCACTTACAGAAACCTCTCCATCTGCGGATGTACTCTCTGAGTTTAGACAGGACAGAGAAGTTCCTGAGGATAGTTTCCTTGGACAAGAGACACCTTTGGTATGTGAATTTTTTTTTACTCCAGTGCTGAAAAATTTATCTCCCAAAGAAAAAACTATCAGCCCTTCATGTCCATTTTGCTAATATATTATCATTTATCTTAAATCGCTTACAATAACATAATTGCAGATACAAGTGTCCAGCCCTTCACATAGGGCATGGGAAGGGTTTTATTGCGGTGAAATATAGTATTACTAAAATGATTAGAGTATCAGCATTGCTTTCTATTGCTATTCAGCTAGATAAACATTGATATATGGTTTTGCCTTACTGTTCTTATCAGTTTTTAGCTAGTTACTCCTAGGAATCTGCATTACAATCCTTTTTCTCCATCTAGGAATATTTATTCAGTTGATTCACCACTTTAAGTAACATAACTAAGCTAGTGGGCTAGAGTTGCAAATTTAGTGGTAGACATTTGACACATGAGAGATTTAAGCATAGAACCACTGCTCTAATACTGTTTTATGTTACCAATAAGTGAAAAGTTTAAGTTGTTAGGTAAGTGCTGGAGGGGATAAGATTAACACAGATATATAATGGAGAATTAAATCAAGATAGGGAAATAGAGAGAATTTAGATAGAGAATCAGATAGAAAATCAGATAGGTCTAAAGTTCTGTGCCTTGTTTGCTGTAGACTAGTATCAAAACAATTGATCAGATTGATCTTCTGAGGGAACAGCAGAAGATTTTGTCCGGAGAAGTGGCACTTCATTCAAGTGCCTTGAAGCGATTGTCTGAGGAGGCTGCTAAAAATCCCCAAAAGGAACAACTTCAGGTAATATATAGTCTGCTTTGTTGTCTTTGTCACTATCTGCTATTGATGTGCCTCGAATATTAAATTTTGCTCTCCTTGTTTACATAGGTGGAGATTAAGAAGTTGAAAGACGAAATCAAGGGTAAGAACGAACAAATTTCTCTGCTCGAAAAGCAAATTGCTGATTCCATCATGGCTTCACACAACACGATGGATAACGCTGAAGTATCTCAAGTAAGTTTAACTTACTATATCTTTCCTATGCTCACTTGTCTCTCATTGAAGCATGTCTTTATTCTCTTTCCTGATTTATGCTGCAGTCTATTGCCGAGCTGGTGGCTCAATTAAATGAGAAGTCCTTTGAACTTGAGGTGATCAATCTTCTTTACATCTTGGCCCAAGAATAGTGTTTCAGTAGCCTTTACAAATTATTCTGGAGTTCACAAATTGAAACAATTGAATAAAGGATAAAAGAAATGATGTGAAACTTTCTTTCCTCAGCCCCCGTTGATCGTTGTCATCTGTTGTTTTAAATTTTGTCTGACCACTGAATATTTTTTCAATTTCCAGGTCAAAGCTGCCGATAATCGTATAATTCAAGAGCAGCTCAATCAAAAGGTACAAATCTTTCAATCAATGTATAAACAACCAGAATTACTGAATATAGCTTTCTCTGTTTGGCGATAATGTTACCAGCTAATTGTAACTTGACAACATCACCATTGTATCAGATCTGTGATTGCGAAGGATTACAGGAAACGATATACTCCTTAAAGCAGCAGCTCAACGATGCACTAGAGCTTAGAAATTTCAGTCCTGTAGCCAGTTATTCACAACGATTCACTGAAAGTTTCCAGGAGGAACAGGCCCAAATCGACAAAGACATTGCTGTCTTGAAAGACACAAATGAAGACTTGCTTTCACGAGCACAGGTATTGTAGCCTCTTAATTCTTCAAAATGTTTGTAGCTAGTTCTTGAACCGAAATCACGTAACTGCATATCATGTGCATTTCTCTCCAAAGGAATCTTGCAAAAACATTAAAAAAAAAAAGGCGATAATAATAATCATATAACAAAGAAAAAATGTATACAATAAATGAAGGCCACAATCAACTGTTATAATTTTTCAAATGATTCCGTCTAATCATCAAACAACTAATAATACCTTGATATATTGCTGAGATTTCATTAATTGCATTTTATTGTATAAATTGGTGGTTTTTCTTAAAGAAATTGTAATTACCAGCTACTTTAGCTGATACGGTCATTTATGGTTGTAACAGTGGGTCTTGGATTATTATCCCGCTTACATTAAGGGTTTGTTGTTTAAGTACCTTTATTGAGAAAATTAATGCTTGAAAAATGCAATCCAAAGCAAATTACTGTGGAAAAGTGTAAGCTGAGAAATATATGAACTCGAGATTAGTCAGTTTGTGTTGTCATTACTTTTGTAGCTCATTGAATTGTATGGGTTGTCATCAGCCTCAGTTTCATCATTTTATGGCTTTTATAGATTTAAGTTGGCATGCAAGTCAAACTTTTGATAATTGCTTGCTTTTTCCTCATTCAGGCAACTGAGATTGAAGAATTAAAGCAGAAAGTTGTGGAACTAACAGAATCAAAAGAACAGCTAGAACATCGAAACCAGAAATTAGCAGAGGAGAGTTCATATGCCAAAGGACTAGCCTCCGCTGCAGCGGTTGAACTCAAGGCATTGTCCGAAGAAGTTGCCAAGCTTATGAACCATAATGAGAGACTAGCCACTGAGCTGGCAGCAGCAAAGAGTTCCCCGACCCAGCGTAGAACAAGTACAGGGCGAAATGGCCGCAGAGACAGCGGTCAGTTCAAGCGACACGATCAAGCTGCATCACTGGATCTCAAGAGAGAACTAGCACTAAGTCGAGAGCGAGAGCTTTCATACGAAGCTGCCCTTATGGAGAAGGATCAACGAGAGACTGAGCTTCAAAGGAAGGTTGAAGAATCCAAGAAACGAGAAGCTTATCTGGAAAACGAACTCGCTAACATGTGGGTTCTTGTGGCGAGATTGAAAAAATCCCATGGAGCCGATACTACCGATGTTTCTGAATCGACAACAGAAACTCAAGCGAGTAGATAGTTTTGGGATTTGAAATGATCAAAATGGTTTGGTGATTGGGTTTGAGAGTTAGCAAAGTGTGTAGAAAATTGTGGTGTTGTGTATTCTAAATGTGGTTCTCTTCTTATCCTTTTCTTATTGTTGATTCTTCAAATTTGTTCTACCAATTGGGCTTTCAATTTTTAATTTTCAATTTTCAATTTTTAATTTTTAGTTTTCAATTTTTAATTTTTAATTTTTAATTTTTAATTTTTAATTTTTAATTTTCAGTTTTTTTTTTTTTTTTTTTTTTTTTTTCCTTTGTTCAGATCTCTGTAGAGCATTTTTAAACAGACATGTTAGCTTCAGATTGCATTAGTTTTTGAAGTTGGCAAGTTTCTTTATACCTGTGGTTTTGGGTTAATGCCCAAGTTGTTTGAGTTACTCTTCAAAACAAAGGTAGTGTTTATGAGTTATAGTAGGATCTATAGGGTTGTTAATCTATATGTTTCTGAAATCGACCTCCACGAACTTACTTACCATTAGATGATTTCACGTGCTCACACACCACCAGGAAATAATAAAGGCCAATTGTTAGCAATGCGCTATATATTATTTTATTTTGTTCAATAACACTACGACACCGAATTCTTACTACACCGAATTCTTGTACCGGCCGACGTGGAACGCACAAACCAAATTCTTTATATTTTTTTCTAGTGAACGGTCCATCAATTTGGACGGCCGTCCACTCTCATGGACCCCCCATCCATAATTTGGACGGCTGTCCTTTCCAGGGACGGCCGTCCAAATTTGATGGACGCCCGTCCATATTAAATACAATAAAAAAATTTGTAAAAGTTTAGGGACGCCGTCCCATTACGGACGCCGTCCAACCATTTTGGACGCCCGTCCACAAATATGGACGGGCGTCCATTTTTTAGGGACGGCCGTCCTATAATTGGACGCCTGTCCCTATTAATAAATAAAATATTTTGTAAAAGCTTAGGACGCCGTCCATCCACTATGGACGGTCGTCCGTTATTTTTTGGACGGCGTCCACAATTATGGACGCCCGTCCTTCACCCAAATAGAAAAAAAATAAAATTCCATTATGGACGGCCGTCCATATTTTGGACGGCCGTCCATTTTGTGGACGGCGTCCGTAAGTCATGGACGCCCGTCCAAAAGTAATTCGTAAAAAAAATCAAATTTTTTTAATTTTTGACCATGGACGGTTGTCCATTCATTATGGACGGCCGTCCATTAATTGTGGACGGGGCGTCCATACTTAATGGACGCCCGTCCATTTCTTATGGCGGCCGTCCATAAGTGTTGGACGGCCGTCCATTTTGTAAGGACGGCCGTCCCAGCCATTATGGACAGCCGTCCATAATGAATGGACGGGCGTCCGTTACTTATGGACGCCCGTCCATATTTATTAAATTTTTTTTTTTGAAAATCAATTTTTCCGCTTTTTAGTAATACATTGTTTTTTTTTTTATATTAGCTTCTCCAATACGCTTCCCCAATTACACTAAAGCAAGAAAAACCAGCGCCAAATTCGTCGTCCTGCTTATCGTTGCCGTCTGTTCCTCGTCTCATCTCATCGTTGCCATCTGTTCCTCGTCTCAGCGTCTGCATTCCTCAGCCTTTTCTTCCCCAACAAACGTTTTCTCCTCTATTTTCCAGGTACCGTTGTGAATAACGAAGTTATCATGTGTCATTTCATCAAACTTCATTGCATCAAACTTCATTTAGCTAAATTTTACATCGAAAGAGAGATACAAAGGAGATTACAGAGATTTTCAAGAGGGAGATTAGAGAGATTTGTGCAGGTAACGATTTTATATATATTATTACATTTATTTAGTTTTATACCGTGAACATTTTGATATAACTTATGCATTGATTTATTTTTGTATTATATTTTGGATTGATATATGTTACAATAGAAAAACACTGATAAAAATTTATTGCTGATTGTTTGAATCGATTAAAGAATATGGAAGAGTCCAGTTTGCCTCAGAATATGGATGAGTCCATTTTTGCCTCAATATGGAAGAGTCCGTTTGCCTCAAATATGGAAGAGTCCAGTTTGCGTCATTTCAATGATATTGAGGTAATTGTTTGTATCGTATTGTTTATTTATTTGATGTGTTTTATTGTACATTCTAATTTTATGTATTATAAAACTTTAAATCAGGAAAATGAACGTGAAATTAGAAGATATGGGATTGTGCAGAGGAAGAAGTAGAGCCTCATATTGGAATGATGTTTACTTCAGTTGATAGTCTGGTGAGGTTTCAAACGGTTTGGTAACAAAATAGGATTTGAAGCAATGATACGTACGTCAAAGAAAGGCGAAGATGGAGAGATGAGATATGTGACAGTGGCATGTCTTGTTCTGGAAAGGAGAGATGTAAGTCTAGAAATACGTTGAAAAACAACCCGTTGCCAAAACAGATTGTAATAGTCGATAGTGCAGCAGCTTTGAATGGTGAATGCAATGGAATAAATCAGTTGTACTTGACACAACCATGATCTTACAAGTCCGACAAAAAGATATTTCAAGGTTACCGAACGATACAACCTTAGTGAAGGGACGAGTTAATGATGTGGCTGGGATTAGACCGTGTAAGAATTTTCAGTCATGTTCGTTGAGCGAGGTGTAGAGAATTTGACGTTTCTAGAAAAGATTGTAGGAACTACATTGAAAAAGTGAGAAGTTACGACTTGGAGTTGGAGATGCTTCCGCAGTACTTGAGTATTTTAGAAAATGCAAAAGGAGAATTCAAATTTCTGGTACATGATTGATGTAGATGAAGAGAGTCGATTACAGAATGTGTTATGGGTTGATGCTAGATGTTAAGGGTGCATATAAAGAATTCGGTGAGATGTTTCACCTTCGACACCAACGTATCTGCGAACAGTATGACATGCCATTTGCTGCTTTTGTGGGGGGTTGATCATCATGGACATTCAACGTTGTTGTGTTGTGGGTTAATTTCTCATGAGGACCTGAGACATTTGTATGGCTATTTCGTTCTTGGCTTGAATGCATGGATGTCGCCCTAATGAATATCACTGATCAAGATAAGGCCATGCAAAATGCAATTGAGATTGTTTTCCCTGGTACAAGACATAGGGGGTGTTTGTGGCATATAATGAGAAACTGCCCTAAAAGTTAGGGGGTATAAGGAATATGACTATAAAGTTTAAGTTGCAAATGTTTTTTTGTATGATTCCTTTACGCTGAAGAGTTCGAAGAGCGGTGGAACCAATTTGGTTGATGTGCACAACCTTCACGTAATGCATGGTTATGTGGATTGTACAAAGAAAGAGTGACGATGGGCTGCCTGCATTCTTCAAAGATCTTTCTGGGCAGGTATGTCTACTACCCAACGTAGTGAAAGTATGCATGCATTTTTTGATGGTTTATGTCAATTCCAAAACCACTTTGAAACAATTTGTGAACAATATATAATGCATTGCGCAGCTAAAGTGGAAAAGAAAGGAGGCTGATTTTAGATCTTTTAAATCTTGGATACCATGCATAACTATTACCCATTGAGAAACAATTTCAAGTGCATACACAACTGCAAAGTTTAAAGAGCTTCAGATGAGATTGCCGAAAGATTTTTGGTGATTATCTTTTCTGAAAAAAGTGATTCACGCGGGAGTTTCAAGTTTGGGAAGATGTTTGGTTTGGAGATAAAGTCGCCGTGTTCCTCATGTAGTATACTTTGATGAAAGTGTCGTGTGATATTCGTGTACTTGTCATTGTTTGGAGTTCAGGGGATTTTAGGCAGACATGCCATTATGTGTGTTGATTCATAAAGGGTTTCACACTTCCGGAAAAGTACTTCCGGCTTGGAGGAAGAATGTCACATATGTCATAAAATTAAGGTCGTTTATATAGGGAGAGCCTAACATTGAAGGACAACGTTTTGAAAAGTTGTCTAATTTAATGCTGACATAGCGGATCTGGCATCAAACAGTGAGAAGATTATAATATGATGACGGAGTTTATGATTGACATGAGGAAACTTTGAGCAAAAGGAAAGTGAGGGAGGGTTGGTACAACATGAACATCTCTTCTAGAACCTTTTGACTAGTCAAGATGGGACAGTCCTCCTAAAGAGGGAATACCGTAATCATTAGTCCTCAGGCAGCTCGTAGCAAAGGTCGTCCTCCATGTAAAGAAAGCGTCAAGATGAAGAATTGTACGTAGTTAAAAGAAAAAATTACAAAACAAAGATGGGTATGACTTTACATTATTTTCAGTTAATTTTTTTTGAACATTATTTTACTTATTTGAAGTTTAGAATAATCGACTTGATTATTAATGTGTTATGATACTTAAGGAAAAGATCATCGTAACAAGCGACAACAGGAACAGTTTCTTTCAAGTACTTCCGTTGCCGATGCGCGAACTCATGTGTTCAAATGATGGTTGTTACTAACAAGTATGTGTTATTATCTTTGTATACTGTAATTGCCTTAAGTTTTCTATACCGTGAGCTAAATTGTGGTTGTTAAACAATGACAATGTCCACTGCCCGTTCCAAATCTCGCAGGACCAAGTAGTTTCTATACTGGACAGAGTTTGTAAATGATAACATGTCTCGTTGGAGATGTTTGATATTTTTTGCCAGTGAAGCCATATAGAATTGTATTTGGTATAAATTTTTCATGCTTTTGGTTAAGTTCCTACCGAATGCGTTGAGTTGTATGCTATACATTGTTCGATATTTTTCTATTTTCTCATTGATTGTGTAGGATAGTGAATTCATGATAATGACGTGTAATGTATATGGCATTTTGGATATTAATTTCTTTTCAGATTTGAATTTTTATGTCTTTGGTTATGTCTAGTATTACATACATATCCATTGAAAGAGTTGTAGACATATGATACAAACACATCTATTTATAAACAAAAACACCTTTATTATAACACATTACAATCTTTATAACAACATCCGCTCAAATCAATCTATTTATAAAAAAGGGAAACATCTTCATCATGGTGCAGGGGTGGAGGTTCTATAGGATGAGGAGGCTGTTGAGAATTCTTCATCATGTTTGAAATCTCTGTCATGCGCTCTTCCAATGATGTCACTTTTTCTTCAATTCTGGATGCAAACGTGTTGAAATCACTTTGCAGTTCTTGTATTTCCTCTCAGTACGTGAAAAACGCTC